GGAAAAAACCTCCCATAATAGTTCTCCTGTCAGAATTCAAAAGAAGTAATATAAAAGTCACGCGCAAGTTCGCGAAAATACCTCGTGGGTTACATAACAGGGGGGTTGAATATTTTCACGAAACGTTTGTTCGCCACCACAGGCCACAGCAACCTAACTAAGTACATTATATTTATTGTATATTTGTGATTATGATAAAAACAATAAATATTTGCGTATTTTTATCATCAATTATAAAAATACAAAAAAATAATACATTTAGTTAGGTTGCTGTGATGGCGAACAAACGTTTCGTGAAAATATTCACCCCCCTGTTATGTAACCCACGAGGTGTTTTCGCGAACATGCGCCTGACTTTTAAATTACTTCTTTTGAATTCTGACAGGACAACTATTATCGGAGTTTTCTTCCTCCCAAATAAATATAATATTTCCAATTTTTGGATTGGGACTATTCTACAATGAAGTACTCCCGGATAATGTAATCTAAATGCATATGAAAACAAAGAAGTGGCATTTATTGGGCGGAGAAGCGGCGAGTCATTAAAATGGCGGCAATTTGACGAAATATCGAAGGACACAATATCGAAGATAAAATACACTGCACTGTTTCTAAAGTGGATGAAACCTTCTTTGAAATCTTCTTCAGCCATTTATGATTATGTAAAAGTACAATAACTGGATGATATTTGCGAGATTCGGCGATAAAAAGCAAACAAGACGGCAAAATATGGCTGAAATCGTGTTTTCGTGGGGGGTAAGTGAAATAAAATGTATTATATTTAAAGAAAACAATGACAATCCTTATGATATCAACAATATTTATATTAAATTAAGCATAGTTTTTCACCCCATGATAATTTTTTTTAGGAAATAAGAATATTTAATTTCTGCCAGGCATATTAGTTATTTTATGCATAATTAGCAATTTACCTGGGGTGGTGCATGGTCATTTTCTTGTAAAATATTTACTTAGACGAATTTTTTCTTCCAATTACGACCACCCCTAAAAGCAACCCTTCCAAACACTATAAACACTTCAGAAGGACTATCGCTTTTTGTTTTCTGAAGTTAGAGCTATGTCGACACTGCCGTTTCAGGGCGGGGTCATTTTCAAGACTTTCGTCGCGGATTCAAGTTTTGGCACATATGCCATGTTGACCGCCATGGTCATTTTACCCTAAAACAGTTGAGATTACCTGTGCTAAATGAAACGCATACAAACTCATATACAGGTCCTAGACTATGAAAAAAAACTAGAAGAACTGGAAAGAGTTTCTGTAAATGACCCTTCTGGAAACTCTTAAAGAACATGAGTGATGACTTTGGGACCCTTCCATGAGCAAACCAGAGGTCTCGGCTAACAGCTGGATCACTCATTTCCAATCCCTGCATGCTAAACATACGTTAGAAACAGAACAGAATAACATTTTACAAAAATTAACAAAACTTGGAGAAAAAACACCAAATAATTTTATTGATGAACCTATTTCTGAAGCGGAAGTTTTGAGTGCTGCAAAGACATTAAAAAACAAAAAATCTGCTTATTCCGACAAAATAAAAAACGAAATGCTAAAGCATGGCGTCAAAATATTACTTAAGTTATACCATAAACTTTTTAACCTCGTTTTAAAAACAGGCCATTTCCCAGATCAATGGTGTGAAGGTCTCATTAATTACGCCAATTTTTAAGTCAGGAGATAAAACTGACCCCAATAACTGCAGAGGAATTTGCGTGACTAGCTGTCTCTGTAAATTCCTTTGTACTATTTTAAATCAACGGTTAAGTAAATTTAGCATTGACAGAATCACAGAAACATAATACACCCCTCCCAAATCGGATTCTAGTCAGGCCACAGAACAGCTGACCACATTTTCTTCTTAAAAACAATAATTGATAAACACATAAATCAGAAAAACGAAAAAATCTATGCATGCTTTGTGGACTTTAAAAAAGCCTTTGACTCTGTTTGGCACGAAGGCCTATTTTTAAAACTGCTTGAAAACAAAATTGATGGTCATTTCTACAACCTTATTAAAAGTCTATATTCAAGCTCTAAATGCGCCGTAAAAGAAAGTAATATAAATCGAACTGAATTTTTCTCTTACTCCAAACGAGTGCGTCAAGAGTGTATGTTGAGCCCCCTTTTATTTAATATCTATATAAACGAATTAGCAACATTATTTGATAATACAGCTGCCGACCGTTTATTCTACCAAATGGGACTAAACTGAGTTGCCTTCTATATGCCGATGACTTAATTTTATTATCTCGATCAAAATTCAGCCTACAACAATCTCTAGACGATCTCCATTGTTGGAGAAAAAAATGGATTATGGAGATAAATTTGAAGAAAACACAAATAATGATATTTGAAAAAAGAAAAACAAAAAAGCAAGACCAATCTTTAATCTTGGAAATCGGAAAAAAAAATTGTACAGGAATACTGTTACCTAGGAATCAAACTAAATCACAATGGTAATTTTACTCTAGCTCTAAAACAACTAAGCGAAAAAGCCTTGCATGCTTTATACGGTATAAGAAGACAACTCAATTTCAGCCATCTCAATCCCAAATATGCCATTAAAATATTTGATTCAATTATAACTCCTATCCTACTATACAACTCGGAAGTATGCGGGACATACGTGAAAAATGATTTCAACAATTGGGATAAATCACCAATTGAAAAAGTTCATCTTAAAATTTACCTCGCTATCAGTAGGAAAGCAAGTAACATTGCCTCCAGAGCAGAGCTTGGAAGACTCTCTCTCATCATTAACGTATTCAAAAGGGTCTTCAAATACATCACTCACTTAAACTCACTTCCCCAAACAACCATTGCGAAGCAAGCTTTTCTAATTAATCTCGAAAGATCTGCACTCCAAGCAGACAATGTCTTTTTACGGAAATGCAATGGATACTATCAAAAATTTAAATCTAAATGAAGAAATCCTTAATTTAGAAGGCGTAACGACTGAACATATTAAAACTATTACCAAAACCCTTGAGGAAAAATACTTAACATTTTGGAAACATAAACTTGAAAATTCATCCAAACTGACTTTCTACTCAACATTCAAAACGGACCACAACCTCGAAAACTACCCAGCATTTATAAAAGATCCATACAAAAGAAAATGTCTTTCAAGACTTAGAGTCAGCAACCAGAACCGCCAAATTGAGATCGGGGGCTATCAAAATATACCCCGTGCAGAACGCTTATGTAAAATCTGCAATTCAGGAGAGGTGGAAAATGAAACCCATCTCCTCCTCTCTTGCAAAGCCTATGAGCAATCTCGTGCAAACCTTTGAAGTTCATTAGAGAATGCTTCATCTGACGAGATTAATCTAAACTCTCAAACTCTATCAGCGGACCTAATGAAATCAACTGATAGTGAAATCATAACCAAACTTTCAAAATTTGTTCATTCATGTTTCAAGCAAAGACTTAAATACCTTGAAACCAGGAATGCGGATTAGCAAAGGTTGTAATAACCACCTTATTTGTAAATAGCGTCTTCTTTCTTTCCTCTTAAAAATTGTGTTAGTCTATTATAAATCATTCCACAAATAGTAATCTGTAATAGTCCTAGTTTATCATAGTTTTTTCTATATATTGTTTGTAATGCTTTAGCAATACTGTAAATTTATGGTCATGTTATAATAAAGCTATTTTTATTTTTTTCAAAAAATGAGTGGAATACTATGTCTATGATTAATAAAACTACAGACTTTTATAATACAAAATACTTTTAAAAATGTTCCTAAATGTTCCTAGCCGTAAATTGCAATGTAGCACAGTAGTATTATGAAAGTGTTTCGATCGGAACCTATTAGCTTGACATGTCTGCAACCTGAACAGTCTTTGATTTCGTCATTTTACCGTCGGGTGGCTCCCCTGCTCGTTTACTTTTAGAATTGTTTAAATATTTATATTTAGTATCCAATCAAAATGGCGCAGGAGTAATTTGCAACTAACTGGAGAGCAAATAATTTCGTGAGTAATTTGTTTGTTTCACTATTTCTTAATCATGAATTGGTATGAAAATTGGTATTAAAGTGGAAGTCTTCCGCTTAAGATTTGGTAACGTTTTTCCTATTATATTTTCTAGATCTGACTGAGATTTTCACCAAGGGCATATAAATACTAAATAGTATTATTATATAAAGTATAGTGCTTTATAGAGATGGCGAGCACTGATAAAAGTGATAATCTCACATGGGATATTATTTATGATAATCTCACAATCATGTGAAAATTATCGCTTTTCAATTATCGCTTTTCTGTAAAAATTATCGCTTTTCAAAGACTGTCCTTTATATAATAAACAGAAACATTTCATCTCCCCTTGGGAGGGGGGGGGGTATTAAATATTTTTCAATGCTTTGGGGGGGGGTGCCAAATTTTATGGTAGAATTTTGGAATACCCTCCACCCCCAGTACACATACTTTATGACCGGTCCCTACTCCCTAATAGGGGCGGCGCTCAATCGGTGCGGCGGTTAAACGAGTAACACGGTAACCCCGCAGCCCTCAATCTCGTCCCCAGAGTATGCCCGTTTGCATGTTAGGTGCTTATTCTGGGTCCAAGTCTCTCTCGAATTGGCTTCGTAGAGTTTATCCAGTCTGTTATGGGACCAGTTTGATTATCAATGGGGTGAAATCACTGATCTGAAATCAATCCGGCATAGACCAAAAATTTTATCCAACTAGACTGAAATTCCAGAGCAAGTCTACCACAAAACAGAGTATGACTTCTGGGGTTGCATGAGATTTCAATTTAAAGAAGTAAGTAGATTGTCATTCAGAAAATTTTTATACGTTTTTGACCGGTAAACTGTTTACGTGAGAAAAATGTAATTTGATTCGACAATCTCGTTCCTAGGGCCCTGGGAACGATATTGTCATATTGTTGTTTCGAAATACAGCATATCCTTAAATGAAGTAAAATATTACAAAGTTGTTGCTCGCCGCTGTACATAAATATTGGCAGGAACGCATGCACGTGATTGGACAATTTAGGAAGCAAAGATTCAAATATTTCAAATCAAATTTCGAATTTTGAAATTGCATGTTTTACATGTTTATACTAGAAGGTTTTGTCTAGTTTTGTGGCGAAAATTCCAACATTTTACTAATATTTCTCAAGAAGGAAATAATTCAAAGCTTAAAGATGTCACGGCTTTCTTTTGGCAGCCCACTTCGACCGAAATGTAAGTTTATTTCAAAACATTGAGTTCAGATGCGTTTATTGTTTGGGCTGTTGCTCACTTGCTCACATATGTATGATTTAGTAAAATACGATCATCGATAAATGTTCCATCACTTACAGTAATGTGCATATACTATTTTTCAAACATGACGACATGATCTAAACAAGCAATAAGATTAGAAAAGCATGTTACATTTCGAGATTGTCTTCAAGTCTGTTCAAACGTTGATGTGAACTATTGTGGCGAGCTTCAAATTGTGTAAGCTTACTAACAGAAGGACCCTCTTTTAAAATTATCTGCAGAGATATGGACTTGATAGTTCAATGGGTTGAGTGCCGGTCTAGAATTTACTCATATTTTTACCAGTACAGCTGGACGTGAAAATTGATTGCCTGCCTGCCTGGATTCTGGAAAAAGTTTGCCATCAGGTCTAATTTTGCCCTCACAATTATTAACAAAATGTGAAGCAAATGATTGCTGTAATGATTGAATAATGAACATTCTGATCTGATGTTTCCTTATGCATCAGGCAATTCCAGCAATTAATGCCTGGGCATGCATTTGCAAGCTTTTTCCTGGGGGCCAGGTATTGGTAATTCTGTTAAATTTTTCCCGGGGCCACATGCATTAGTTAGTCTACCCTGGGTATTAATTAGGCAGGATGTTTGTGCAGAGGCCTTAATATTAAGGATAGCCTGTTATATGTACTGTAAGGCATAAAAAAAATACCTGTGGTTCCGGTTCCCGACCGACCCTATTTTTTTCTGGCAACCCTATTATTTTTTCAACGCGATTGACCGTACAACCCTATTTTCTCCGGGTGGTTGCGGGCTGCTGCCAAAATGGCGTCTGCTGTCACACTGATTATTGAAAAAACCATAAAAAAAATAATTAAAAAAAAAAATTATTTCTGACCTACCGACCCTAATTTTTTCACGATATGTAACCGGAACCACAGGTATTTTTTTTACGCCTAAAGTGAAGGCCAGGTTTCACAAAGGAAAATGTTCCTTAATTAAGGTTTATATTAAAATCATTTCTTATTAATTTTTATATAGTAAACTCAAAAAATTTGTGTTAGAATTTGGTAATATAATATACTGTAAGCTTAATTGTGTTGCAATATATAAAATGTTTCATTTTGATCTTCATGTGAAGCATTCTGTTCAAATTTTGTCTCTTTCGCATGTCATTCTGATGAAATCTGCTTAAATATACAAGTTGGTCTTAATTTCCAGAGGGCCGGGTATTTGTCAGCATTTTTTTGCTCGGGGATAGGGCATTGGTATGAATATTCTGCCCACCCCCAGGGCATATTAGACATTAAAAGAAAAAAGTGCAAATGCCCGGAGGTGGCCCGGGAGGGGGATGGGCATTGCTGGAATTGTCTGATGCATAACAAAGTCATTTGGAGACTTAATCATATATATGTCAATTGCTCAGATTTACAAGTAAAGAATCAAAAACTGAATTTTATACAGTACCAAGTGAACAAACATTTTTAGCAAGCAATTTAGTGTAGCAAATAATTTCTGGCAAAACATTACAACAACCTGCCGAAAAGGGTAACCAAGAATTCAAGCAAGTTCTTCATATTATGTACTTGCCTGTAAAAATTTTACTTGTGGCGGGCAAGCGTTAAGTTTAAATATTTAGTGACAGAGACTTTGCAAAATATTGGGGGTGGGGCAAGTGCCGAAGACACAAGATTTCTAGGAGGATATGTGGGAATGCTCTCCCAAGGGTTATGTGGGAATTAATGCTCCCCCAAAATCCCTGAAATGGCATTTGCAGCATTCTGGGAGCACATTTTGTAAGAAATTTCTGGTTTTCAAAACATTAAGTTAATGGTGCATTTCAGAAAAAATATTCCAGATGATTAAAATACATTAATTTTGTGAATGCAGGAATTGCAAGGTGGTTTAACTCGATCTTTCTCCACAAGTCCCATGCATGTCAACTTCTAGAAGCTGATGACTTTGTATGCATGTTAACTTTATAATTATCTTCAGTTCAGTGCATGCTATGGAGACAATAATTATACCACCATTTGATTCAGTGAAACAATATCAACTAATAATTCCTCACAATAGTTTGTCATTGCCAACATTGTAGTGATTTATGGCTTTTGAAAATGAAAGTCTGAAAGCGAGATCGTAATAAAATAAATATAGACTAGCCATACCTTTCCCCTAACATATAACTTCAGCCCCTTCAGACGTATCAGAACCACCTTTGAGGTATGTTTAAATCTGTTGAGAAACTTGGGGG